CATAACACAGTCGAGTAATAAGCAGGTGGTGTTGTCTTCACACGCCAAAATGCCGCTACTGCCAACCGAACAAAATGAAATATATCCCAAATGGTCGAATTTCATTGACACCCCAATCGGGGTGACAGCGATTTTTTCAGAAAAATTTGACTGAAAAAATCACTTTTTCCGCCATTTTCTTATAGGTATTTGGACAGATAACATTATAACTAACCTAGATAAGTATAAATAACATCATATAACTAAAATATTACGTGAGCATATAGTAGGCAATACAAAAATCTCCCCTGAAAATAGCCTTGGCAGCTAACGTGTTAAGTTTTGTCTCCCTTGACTATCTGCCATATAAATTCGGTAACAACCGGTATATAACAATCAGTGGATTTTTCCCGTTCAGAAAGGATTTTAGGAACCCAATGTGTGTAAAGATTTACAAAAAAACTATTTTTCAGTAAACGATCTCGTAAATTAATGTTCAAGAAACTTGTGGAAATCCACGTGCAACAGTACCTACTTAAACGTACGGTTTTACTTGGTCTTCTAATTGACTGCATTAATCAGTTCATCGCTTACCACGGAATGTCCACTTCGTTAATCTTTATGCACTGTATGATTCTGTAGGATTTTCTTCTTTGAACTGTCAAGCCCATCTTCTCACCATTCAATCACTCGCTACATTGTCTCCATAAACCTCACATATTTGTCAGCGAGTGTCAATGCTTTAACGGTCTTCACATTAAGAAAACAAAATCACCTATCAAATTTCACAATCAACGGGATTCTCAATTAATGCAGCCATTACAAACAAGTGCTAGGAAGTGTATGACAATGATACCGAGTTCAAATTGGGGTTACTTTCTTCCGGTTGACACAGAGTAACTAGTGTGTGTGTGTGCTTAACTACTAGAGCTACTACTACTACTACAGCACTACTACGGAGAGTAGGGGAAACGGAATTTACTTTTCAGACCTACCTTGTATTTTTCTGAATTATATTTTCTCACATATGAACTCTTTTCTTTTAGCATTTTATTCTATGATATGGCTACAGCACAAATTCATTTTGACCTCAAAGCTTCACCACTACTTAAGCTAGGTCTAGTGTCTTAGAGGTTAGAGGGATATACTCTCCGCTATGGCATGATTTAAATGCTACATTTAAACAAGCAGGGCTTTGTGGCAAAACTATGATCACAGATATAGGAACAGAAAGAAACGAGTCCCCTTCCTCCAAAAAACTCAGTGATCTCTACTCATTTGTTGAAGTTGTACTCTTATAATACCCGCAGGGGGCCCACGCTTGCGTGGGTACGTGGCCTGGGCGACCACGCGGACCCTAGCTCTCCCAGAGGGGAGGTAATTGCCCGGTGTTGGAACCGGCACTTCAGGTAGGCCACAAGCTATGGACGACTGGACAAGCCAGCCTCTTTGGGTTGTACCCAAAGTGAGAGTACCCAGTGACATTCCCTCCATTCAGGGTGGTGGGGTGTTCAGCTCTGCTAGTGTTGATTAAGTTCATAGATCTTTCACCTGCCTGTAGCTTGTGGTTGTGACTGAGTTCTTCGGGCTCGTCCTACCTGTTGTGTTCGACTGACATTTTGTGAGGCATATCCTCGACTTTGGAAGTAGCCTCGTCCTGGGAGGTGAAATACCTAGCCCCCAAAGGGGAGGTAAATGCTCGGTGTTGGTATCGGCATTTTCAAGTAGGCCACAGACATGGACGACTGGGCATTGGGTCCCAGTGACATTCCTTTATCCAGGATGGAGGGGTGTTTAGCTCTAGGAGAGATGGAAGTGCATCATATTCTCTAACCTACCTGTGTCTGTGGTTCTTTGAGCTTCGGCCTGCTTGTTGTGTGCGACCAGCATTCAGTGTGGCAAATCCTCGACTTTGGAAGTAACCTTTCCTGGAGGTGAAAACGGGCAAGTACCCGTAGCTCACGGGGACACTCAAGAGCAACGTAACTTTCCGCAGTGTGAGGGCAACGGTTTGTAGGCACTTATGCAAACCAATCCCTGTCTCTGAGCACGGACGGTATGGTTATCTTGAGTGTGGGGGGTTCTTCCCCGAACCTCAATTGAGTCAAGGGTGTCGCCACCTCTGGTGGATAGGTTCATCCGGGTGGGTCCCACTTCTATATCTGCCTCCTTTTGGGAAACCCTGATGGCCTGGCAGTGATGTTGGGTCTGACGGGCAAACGAAGTAGATCGGGTGCTGGGTCCGAGCCCGCCAGGGGTATCTGGGGATCTATCGCTCTGGTTATCTCTGGTTTCCCAGCAACTGGGTAAGGCCTCGATCGGGTAGTGGTGTAAATGGGAGGTTGCGCTGACGGTCCCCTTCCTTCTGGCTATTGATGGCGGGTTTGCCTGTCAGGGATTAGATAGGTCCCGAGTGTTACTTGCACTAAATGCGTCGGGGCGCTCTATCATGGTCCTCTAGGTCCCGACCTAGTGGAACCCAGGTGGAGTGACGCTTAAACAAGTAGCCGGAAACCCTGGTTAGGATTGAGGGGCAACCCTCTTTCCGAAGGGTCTGCTTCGGCAGCCGGTGAGCCTGATGACCTTAAGTCATCCGCCCATGATGTGCAAAAGGTTGATGCGTAAGCTTCGGCCTACATCATGGGGCCCGGGTAAGTCTCACGACAGGTACCGGGTATGTAGTCAGGGGGCTTCGGCTCTCATGACAAATAATGAAATGAAAATGAAAATGTACTCTTATAATATACAGGGTGTCCCGTAACTCTCTGGACACTTGTATATAGCGTTATTCCTTAGGTCAAGACAAACACATTTCACCATAGGAACATGGGTCTGTGGTGTCTAGTTTACCGACTGTCGGTATTTATGTGTTTTTTACAAAAAAACTAATAACTCCTAAACGGTTTGAGATACAGCTTTGATATTTTGCAAAAATGTTAATCTTATTAAGACCTATTATCTTTAGAAATTATACTAAAAAATCATTAACAGTTTCAAAATGGCGGCCATTTAAAATATTTGATGCCAAATTTCACGAAAACCGTTAACTTTACAAAAAAATTGCAAGAGACAAAAAAGTTTGTAAATTTTATGTAGTTTTCAATTATACCTGATTTGTTAAGATTGGATAAATAATAACAGAGAAATGTCTTCTTTTCTAAACGCATGACCACTTTTCTCCATTTAAACAATGCTAAACAACGTAAAAGGAGTATTAGCATTGTTTAAATGGAGAAAAGTGGTCATACATTTAGAAAAGAAGACATTTCTCTGTTATTATTTATCCAATCTTAACAAATCAGGTATCATTGAAAACTACATAAAATTTACAAACTTTTTTGTCTCTTGCAATTTTTTTGTAAAGTTAACGGTTTTCGTGAAATTTGGCATCAAATATTTTAAATGGCCGCCATTTTGAAACGGTTAATGATTTTTTAGTATAATTTCTAACGATAATAGGTCTTAATAAGATTAACATTTATGCAAAATATCAAAGCTGTATCTCAAACCGTTTAGGAGTTATTAGTTTTTTTGTAAAAAACACATAAATACCGACAGTCGGTAAACTAGACACCACAGACCCATGTTCCTATGGTGAAATGTGTTTGTCTTGACCTAAGGAATAACGCTATATACAAGTGTCCAGAGAGTTACGGGACACCCTGTATATTGAAAAACTTTTACTCTCAAAAATATATTCGGGTAAATAGCATAATCCTAAATAAATTATAGTTGAAGATGTTTTTGCTTGATCTTGCTCATGTTGAACCTAAGGCATTCGACTCCTTTGCAGAAATTTCCTCCAAAACAGGGTTGAGTTACTTATCAGTATCTCAAATATCACAGACTGAAGATGCTGAAGATGTTGGTACTAGATCTCAAATTAAGAACAAAGCTGTCAATATTTCAAACTTGATCAGGTTCAGAGATCAGCTGTGTGGTGCGGTGGAGGAGTATAGTTTTTAAATGTTTTTCATGCCAGGGAAGCAATGATTACCACAGTTATCTCACAGGAATCTGGGGGTTTTCTCTATGCTAAAAAGCCAGGAAAAAATAATTCAATATTCTGTAAAAAGGTGACCTGATACTAGAATCTGGCAAAGCTGTATTTTAGCGAATTTACAAAAACCTCTTAACATCTTCTTATCAGATTATGAATCAGCCTGTTCAACAATATGGTAAAAGGAATTTTTAATATTTTCAAAAACTTAAGTCGATGATCGACCATTCTATTTAGTTTTATACCTAATTACCTACCGTTACTAGAATATTCAAAATGCTTAACAAGTATGTTGTCTCTCATAAAAAAGCATAGCTTGTTAGTTTATGGCAAGTTAGGTTGATTAAAAAGTAAATTAAACACAAGTTACAAATTTCTTTCAACATTTACAAAACAGTTCCATCGGTTTCAGGTGTTATAGATCCTTCCTAATCTTGCATTACAAATGTGATATAATGTCACATAGAAAATTGAAACATTTTTATATCAATTACATAAACCAAAATGTCACAAAATAAATAAATTGATAATCTCAGTTGCCACTTGCCAACCTCAGAAAAAAACTGAAAACTAAAAATTAATACTGTGAAGGTACACAGTAGAAATCTTCAGGGCATTTGTATTTCTTTAACATTTTGTTTAAGCATTTTTTGTTAGGGAAAACAGTTTAATTCTTGATGTATATAAAATCTTAATAACTCACACTCTTGCACACATCATCTGAAACAATGAAAATTTATTCTCCATTTTAATATACAAACCTTTTCGTGTGTTATCTTTGTTCTTAAAATGTCAATCGTGTAACCCAAGGAAACAATTTTAAAACAAGGCAACTAAAAACCTATTAGTTATAAACTTTTTGACACACAATCAGGTACATGATCAACAGTTTCAGATTTACAAAATTTGTTGCTATCAGAGACCATGAGTGAGGGTCTTCGCGCAAATCAGGTTAGGCAGTAGTCAGCAGCACTAACAAGATTGGCACTAAGGCTTCTTACAATCCTACGTTGATCAAATGGCATGGCCGTGATAGTGGTGGGTGTTGATAAGGCCTTAAAACATCAACATTTACATTTACATCAACCTGTGTTCACACTAAATCCAACCCCAATGTTAGTATGGTTCTCTTTCAATTTATAATTAGAAAATCAACTTTTGGAAAAGTAGTGAAGTGTGCGTTAAGTGTTGGTCTGTGAGTGTTTAAAGCTCTTCTGTGAGTATGTTTTAAATCAAGTAGAAAGCATGTTTTCAAGTATAGATGGAGAAAGTGATGGAGAAGTTATTCAAGCTTATGTTTATCGTACATATTTTTGACTGCCCAGTTCTCCCCTTGCTGCTTCTACTTCAGCAAGCGGTCTTTTACATTTTTGTTTCAGAATCAGTTACAAATAATTGGTTTTCACAGGAAAAACCGCCGTTAGCTTCAGTGAATATTCAGCAATCACCATTAGCTTTAAAAGTTCATGGAAGTGTTCACTTAAATTTACTTGTTATGCATTCATTCTCTCAATAAGCTCACTAGAAATTAAAATCATTGTCGGAGATCCCAGTAGCAATTTCTTAGCTGCAGTCTGAGAAATGACTCTTTATCCAGCATTTGAGGTTTTAACATTCAAGGAATAACGTCTGCATTATAGTAGAAATAACAATGATAAAAAAATAAAGAATGTGTCTTGTTATTTTGAAACAATAAGTGCTTCTCATCTAGACATTTCCAAAATCCATTTCATTCAAAAGCTATTCATAGAACATATAAACAAAAGCCCTTCTTTGTTCATAAACTATTAATGTCAAATAATCATTCTTTGTGTATTAATGTAGCAATAGATTTTTAGAACTGTATTTTGTCAACTAACTTGTCATTATGTGTTCAGTTTCAACCAAGCCAAGATGGGGAAGGGAGGGCTGAGTCCCACCAAGCTCAACCTAAACAAGCTCAGCGACCCGAGCGAGCGCTACACCCTCGGAGAACTGCTTGGGACGGGTATCCATGGAAACGTCTATTCCGCCACTGACAATGAGAACAGTTAGTAGATCCAGCCCTGGTAACCATTACCTAGCATTATAAGTACTGCCCAGCTTTGGTATTGGACCAACCAATACAAGTAGACTTTCATTTCATTGCAAAATCTATGACACTTGTTTTTATGTGTAATTCATGTGATTTATGTGTGATGTCCAAGGCTAGTATTGAAGAAATAGTTTTTGTCCTATTTTATGGTAAAGTTTTTTGCTTAACTGTTTGGTTATAAAACCAGAGGATGTGCTAGTTTTAAAAAATTGAGATAACAAGTGACAAGTTGCGTAAACCTAAATATTTTTATAATTTAAATTTTTTTCAGCTTTTAATATATTTAAATTTAAAAGAAATTAAATTTGGGACTATTTATTTATTAGACAGAAAATACAACTATCAGCGAGTTCTTTTGCCTAATTGATAAACAAACCTTTCAGGTGGGATGAAAGTTGCTGTTAAGATTCAAAAAATCACTCCGGATCGCATGGATGACATCCAGGAGGAGTATAGAGTCCTGAGGGATCTGTCCAGTCATCCCAACCTCCCGGACTTCTATGGAGTTTATTTGGAGAAAACAAGGGACGGAGATCAACTTTGGTTTGTTATGCAGGTGAGTCTAAAAATATCTGTTTAGCATTGATTAGCAAACTGAAACTTCATACCTACTGTTAAACTTGTGCAATGCATTGCTTTATTGATTCAGTAGCATTTTTACATTAGAATAATGTAAGAATGAAAATTTAATATTTTATGGTCCTTGAACATCACTGTTACAATAATTGAAATTAGGAGTATAGAAGTACAGTAACAATACTAGTTTTCCTTCATATTATGAAAAAATCCAAATTCATACAAAAACAAATTTTTGGAGATGCACACTTCCACATACTGTAGTAAAACTAGTAAAATGTCTAATTTGAGCTCACACTAACAAATAATCCACCCATCTCATTAACCTTTATATGATCAACCATTTAAAATTTACTTTGTTTTAGATATTCCTCTCCAACCAAATAAAAAACATTTTCACAAATGGGTGATTTCAAATTCGTCATGAATTTTACATCAGGATTTGACAGGTGAATGACACCTGACCAAGAACAAATCAAACCCTTGAAATAAGGCGTTGTCTTCTGGCTTGTGAGAACGCCTTATCGCTTGGCCATTGGTCAGAACAAAATGATCTGTTACACAAAAAATAAATAAATACAGATTAAGTCAAATTTCAAGAGTAGCCGTTCTAAGCTCCACTCCCAGGCATGCCCCAACCAACTTTTAGGTATACCCCTTGAGCCCCCTGCCCAAGTTGTACCCCTTTTTGGCCAATATACCGGCTTTTGGGGTCAAACTAGAAAAATAACACATAACAAGCAATACTTGAAAGTAATTATTTATTTTCCAGCTTTGCGAAGGTGGACCAGTTGTAGATGTTGTGAGAGGTTTATTGAAACATGGAAAGAAGATGTCTGAAGAACACATTGCTTTCATTCTGCATGAAACTGTCAAGGTAAAAATTTGTTTGACGTTTTTAAATTTAATATTTACCTCTCAATCTGTTGCTTAAAATTTGGCATGATAAAGTAGCATAGTAATGTGATGTGCCTACTCTCTACTCCCATCAGTTTTGAACCATCAAAGAGCCTCACAACACCAATCACATCATTGCGAACACATTAAACAAGATCAACTGGTCCAATGGACGGTCAAACCAATTACTATACAATGTTTGAAGTACATCCCCTATTGTTCCCAGGCTCTTGTTCATCTTCACGAGAACCACGTGATGCATCGAGATGTGAGAGGCAGTAACATTCTGCTGACCAAGCTGGGTGAAGTGAAACTAGTGGACTTTGGACTGTCCAGGTAATTTATCAACAGAATCTTATTTTGTGGGTCGAGAACACTTTTCACCTTTTTTTGTCAGAAGAAAGTTATGGACTTAAGGAATCTTATAATGTTATGAAATAACTTAGCATTGTCGAACGTATAAACTTAATAAGTGTGGAATACCCACACATTCACTCCCACAATTTGTGAGCCATTGGGAAAAATACCAAAATGTTTCTTCATAATTCAAAATCAGGTGAAAACTAGATCCTAAAAAATCTATTAATTTATGTTTATCTTCAAACTTAACAGTACTAGTATTTGCCTTGTGGAATGTTTTACTTTCATAAATGAACCAGAAACATTACCAAAGGCATTACCAACAATGGTTAAATCCTATCTCACACAGTTCTTGTCAGGTCATGGCCATTTTCAGTCGTACCTACACTTGATGGCCAAAACAAATTCACCTGACTCTATTTACTGCCCACGCATTCCCGACGACGCGGAATTTTCCGCTGTCCACAATGGGATATACTCCGCCGGGAGGTCAACATCTTAGAGTGCTGACGGCTAAATCGATTTGTGAGACCTTGCTGACCGGGTGAGGACAACTGGGACTGCTGGTCCACTTTGTTCGGAAAAAGAACGATGAATCGGATGACAGTCTAGATCGTGTAAGACATTAACGGCTAGACACGGAGTAAGCCCTTCAGGCGTAGGCAAACTCTCCTCGTTGATGAAGTGTGACAAGTGTTCCCAGGCTAGTGTCCGAAGAGTAGAGGAGTTTTTAGTGGGTAGTCTCTGGGCCTTAAACCCGTTCGAGTCCCACACTACAGGCTAGCCACCTGTGTGCATAAATGAAATACTCACCTCTCCCTAAAAAAGGTTAAATCCACTTAGCTACACCTCTTTTACATATTTTTTTTTATAATTGTCCTAAATATCTTGACAAAATGTTTAATACGGATTATTAACCCCCTGGATTCATTAGGACCCTGAATACAGATATGATTTTTCCTTCATAGAAGCCAAAACTTGAGCCATGAGTCAAGAAAAGTGAAAGAGCTGTGGTAGAAAATATTGTGTGCATGCATACTAACAGGTTCAGGGTTTATAATTTAAAAACAGGTATGTACCTATACAATGTTCTTTTCAGGGAGTTGAAGAGCACGATGGACAAGCGTAACACAGTGATAGGTTCACCTTCTTGGATGGCCCCGGAGGTGGTTACCAGTGAGAGACTTGAAGGAACGGAAACCAACGCTTACGACAATCGAGCGGACGTCTGGGCTCTGGGTAAGCATCTGCATTTGGGTATACAAGCATTCAAACATAACTTTAAAGTCATTGTTTCATATAGTTTTTGATCTTGTCAATTCTACTCATCAACAATGATGTATTCATAAAGTATTTTGTCTTATTCAGTTAAACCAGTCTGCACCCCATTATACCAAACCCCAGGTTAACTGAAACCTAAATAACAAATTAAATGGAAAATTAGCGAGACAACAAGAACTGTCCGCTGTGGAAAGTTTATTTTGCTTGACTTAACCAACGGAAAGTACAGTCATAAAGATGAAATCCAGCAAACACTTAGTCAATTAAGGATTTATTAAGGATTTGTGTATTCAGTCGTACATGTTAACATAGTGATTAAAATATACAAAAATACTCTTGTAGATCTACTTGAATCAAAATAGCCTTTGCAAATTGCAACTATCAACTAACAAAAACGATGTTTGATCTGAAATGGCCTCGCCTCCTTAATTTTGATCGGTTGGGGTTTTACTTTTACTGTAGTTAGTTGGTTGGAGACAGACTTCCTTAGATCTTTCCTTTCCTTCACATCTTATCACAGCAGTTACTGACTTTAAAAACTTATACTGTAATGTTACTTTACTATCTTCTGATGAGGCAGTAGTAATGGTGACTATTAAGAATTACAAAATCACTGTAACTTTTGGTTACACAATGAAAACATATTTCAAATATAGCAAAAGAAGTAGCAGTAATTGTGTGGTAAAATTTTGTTACAGGTATTACAGCCATTGAACTTGGAGACGGCAAAGCACCTTTTGAAGGAATTCACCCGACTCGAGCTCTGTTCCAAATAGTGAGGAACCCTCCCCCCACTCTCTACAGACCTGCTAGCTGGACTCAGAACTTTAATGACTTCATTAATGAGTAAGTATATTGGTTACCTGCAAGTTTTACAAGACATTAACCCTTCCCAATATTAGATTTGCCAGTTGGTAGTATGAATGGTCTTAGATTCCTCGTGATTAGTTTTAAGTTTTGGCATATTAGTCAAACATTGCAATAAACTCAAATTATTATATGGTACCGGTAGTTAAAGGAATTACGTTAAGGGCTTTTATCTGTTCTGTTACTAAATTGTTCTTTCAAATTTTAGGAATTTAACATTACCGTCTTATTCCATAGGGATTAAAAGACTAGACTTCTTCCAGGACTAAATAATAAAGAGATGAGATGGAATTTTTATATTGAACTTTTAAAGGATTTATTTAGGACAGGGCTTTTGATACCAAAAAGGTCCATACAAATAGAACTTTGAAATAAATTCATAGTATTTTTCACCATCATAATCTTTATCATTTTGAAAGAGTTGTTACAGAATCGTTGGAAAAATGTTTGCTATGTATTCACTCATATATTCCATAAACTGCCCTGTCATCTCCGCATAATCTAGGTAATTTAACAATGGCACAAAAAGTAAGTTAATGTGGGAATATTTTTTTGGGAAATTCATAGTGTATGCAATTTTAGCATCATGTTTTGTGCAGGTGTTTGGAGAAAAATCCTGAGAACAGACCCTTCATGGTGGAAATAATGGAGCATCCTTTCCTGACTCAGCTACCAGAAAACGACTTCCATGTAAGATGTCATAGTTTTTGTCCTAACGATTAACAAAATAACATAGTTCATAAATGAAAAAATGTCGAGTTATAATTTTGCCTCATCAGTTCTTGAGATTTTTAACACGTTCGCTGCTGAGGACTCAGATCGGAGTCATGCCATACAGGCACAGCGTGCGTACGACTCCGGTCGGAGTCATGGTATAGTGTTAAGTTATACAAGTTTTTCTACTGTGACCTCCGCATTTATCGGGGATCAACTAAACTATGTCAACTAGTTGTGCTGGTCCTATACTTTAATTTGGTGTAGTTTGGGTTTAGGGTGGTGGTAAAATTTCCTGTAAAATCCTGTCTGGCAACGCTTTTTGACCTGTTTTCAGGGATTTTCTCTATTCGAGGCACAGTACAAAGACACTGGCTAAGGATCCAGGTAGTGCTGCTATCTGTGAGTTTTTCAGTCCACTCCCAGGGTAAAACACAGCACCATCACCGCTGCTGTTTTACCACTGTCAAGACTGAAATATTTTAATGCCTATTGCGTTCGCTGATTCACAGGTGCACCGAGGCTGCATCACATTTCCGACAATCCCGCCAAAGGGATTCTCACAGCGTACGTGTTAATAGATTCTGTGGGATTTTGGGTTTCACATTGTACTTCAGTAACAACTAGATATCCTTTTTCGGTCAAAGAGCTATTAAACAGTTTGAATTTTAATTAATTTATTAATTTTTAATTAACATTCCAGTTGACTCATGAACTCAAGAGTCTTCTTGATATGGTGAACCATGATATAATCTCTACTAGAAGAGAAGAGGTTGTTGTCAACAAGAAATTCATGAAGGTATGTACATTAGATTTGAAGACATTTATCAGTTTATATAGTATATATTTTTGGAGTACAAAGTGCCAGAAATACCCCATTAAAATTCAAAATGAAAGTTCAAAACTCCAAAACATAATAATTTTTAGCCTACAAACTAAAGTTTTTTTTGGGGCAGCGGTAATACATTTTAGAAAAATAGATTCAGTCTACAACTTTATGATTTACACTTTCATATATCCAAAATGGTTGTATGTGTTATTTTTAATTTTAAAAATTCACAGCCATCAGCTCACACTTTAAACCTCTGACTTTAACTCCATCCTCTTTATGGTATAGGATGATACCATATAGTTATAGATATAGGTATAAGTATGGTATAAGGATCTGGCTACGCTTATGAAGAAATGAGAGCTTTAAAGTGGAGTGTCGTGAGCTTTAAACCGATAAGTTATGAGTTTGAGAATTCATGAGCTTATGCAAAAACTTCCATAACTCCAAACTTTCCAAAGTCATAACCAAAGGGATCCAAACAATATTGAGTTTGAATAACATTCCCACACTTGTAAACAACTCAAGTTATTTTCTGATGTTTCACCAAAACAATTTGTATTGCAGACCAAGTCACACCAGACCCCTGAGGTGATGCATGTAGAGGACCTGGCAGCTTTGGAGGACATTACAGAGGACACAGTGCTGAGTGAGCTACAAGAGAGGACTAAGGAAGGACACTGTTACTCCTTCATCGGCGATGTCCTGCTGTTTCTCAACCCTAACTCGGAGCAGGACATCTACAGTTTTGAGGTAACTACAATGGATATGTGAAGGAGTTGGTGAAATATTGTGACAAAATTTTGGTGTTTTCAGTATTTTTATCTTGAGTCTTGTATAGAGGGAAAAGGAGGTTTACTATCTGACAATTATATTTTTCCAACTTTAACTATAAGGATGGGGTTATTTTAAATCTTGCTTTAGCAACATGGGTTTAAATTACCTGTGAATGTATGAGAATGATCTACACTGATACTGGGCTCTTACCCAAGACATCACTTCTTTTAGTTTCACAGTCCATTGCACTTCCATTTAAACAACCAACACAACCCACTAAATTTCATGTGATGGTTTTAGAGTGGTTGAATAAAATGAATTAGAATCTTGAAACAAATTACTAGGGTTATACAGAACCCTATCAATTAGTGTGGGGTGTAGGGGAAGGTGAGGGAATTAATTCTCCCATCAACACTGCATGACAGCCACATCACTGGACCCTAGTGGACTAATCAAATGTTTATTAGTAGACAATATTTCACTCTAAAAAATAATGAATGGTGTTGCTGACAGATTCTTTCTACCCTGCTTGCCACTCTAATTTATATACCCTAATCTATAAACTAAGCATTTATTGTTTTCTGAATTGACTGCAGAATCAGACCAAGTACTTCTGCAAGAGCCGATCAGACAACGCTCCTCACATCTACAGCGTGGCTGACAGTGCGTTCCAGGACGCCTTTCATCACGAGGAGCCTCAACACATCATACTGTCCGGGGAAACTCTCTCTGGGAAAACCACCAACCTCAAACATCTTCTCAATCACCTCAACTACCTCGGGCTGGTAAACACAGACTTTATTAGATAGTTAATTCAAGAGGGGGGAGGGAGGCATGGGCATTACTAGGGAGGTTTGGAAGCCTTTTACTTCTAGAGTTAGATTTGTATGACGGTCACACGGTATTTGGATGATTGAGTTTTGACTAGGGATGACAATAGAACTACACATTCTATTTCCATGTCAGTTGAAGCCAGTTTTAGAAAGACAAACTTGGTTAAATTGAACCAGCTCACAGAGGATGCTGATGTAAATTACTGATTTCTGTGAAATTACTTTGCCGAATCGTTTACCAAGCCAAACTAAAAGGACTTGCATTGTAAACTAAGCATTTTTACTGCCATATCAACCATCACAGTAACAAAACTTTAGGAAAACATAAAATACTATTTTGTAGCATCACACCGTGAGTGTGGCCCATTCAAATATGTTCTTTTTAAATACAAAAAATTAACAATAACTGATTTATATAGATGGGCTGTCTACCTCAGTATCCAAAAGTGAATCTCAAACCATGAAAAGGAAAGAAGAGTGAAGGAGGCATGTTAAATTATCAAAATTGTAGTCTATTACTGACTAAGATCAGTCCACTCATTGAGGTTTAAAAGCCTGCTATTAAGCAATCCATTTAATTTCACCCGCAACTGGTTTAGACTCCTATGTGGAGCCATCTTCGGGTGGTATATCCTTTCTTCACAAGAAGAGCGTTATATTTAACACAAAATAAATAAACATTTACACACAACACATATAGACACGAAACATTTATGGTACCTAACTGATCAGATATGACAACAGGCGACGCTAACCCCGGCGGAGTTTAAGTCCAGTCTAAACTCCAGTTTAGTTCAGTCCAGAGTTACTGGACTGGTTATTTTCCCTAGCGTCGCCTATGCTGTCATAACTGATCAGTTGCCATAAATGTTTCGTGTCCGTATATATGTGTCGTGTGTAAATGTTTATTTATTTTTATGTGTTAAATATGACGCTCTTCTTGTGAAATAAGAAGAAATCCTTGTACCATCCGAAGATGGCCCCACATAGGAGTCGAAGCTAGTTACGACTGCAATTATGTGTATTGCTTGATAGCAGGTATTTAAACCTTAATATTATATTTGGCCATCTGGAGGCTAACATCCACATTGAAATCAGTGCATTCTTTACTCAAATTTATTAAAAGCCTAGTAATCTTTTATTATTTTATTTATGTGTTAACACTTTTTCAGAGCCCAAACAAGGTGGGTGATAAGCTGATCAAGGCACTGAGTATAATCCATACCATCGGCAACGCTGCCACTCCTGTCAATGCAGACTCTACTAGGCACATCATGATGTTACAAGTGACCTTCTCCAGCACCGGCAAAACCTCTGGAGGAATCTTCTGGGTGTACCAGCTGGAGAAGTGGAGAGTCACTGGCTGTCCGTGAGTATCACTGTTGGTTACAGTAGCCTACAGTAAAAACAAGAAAATAGCTTATAGAATCAGTGGGTGTTACCACATTCAGCCAATTTGGGGATAGTAGCAACACAATATTCTGAAACTATATTTTAAACTATACAAACAATATTGTTTTAAGATTTCAAAATGCCTCAATATTGATAAACATGATTAGAAGATATTGTTTGTGGTATTTTTGTTCTATCTCAGATTCAAGAATTTGAAATGCTTGCATATACCTTTGTTGTTGTCTGAGTTCTTGTAGGTAAGATACAATATAGACTGTATCATGTAAAGAAAGAGTTAGTAATAAGTGAATAAGAAGGCCCAGGTGATTAAAATTTAAAAATGCGCTGTATCAGGTACGTGGCTTTTCAGCTCATGACCTAGACTCTTAAAGTTTCTCATCTTTATTGGTTTTTATGTCCTTTTTGTCTGTATTTCCTTAAACAAATATTTTGTTATGTTCTTAAAATCGTATTTGTTTTTTTCAATTATTCCTATTTCACCTGCAAAGACCAATATTGATGGTGCCTATCGTGATTTGTACCTCAGTTTTCCTGACCTCTTTCATCTTAATGCCACACCATTGATACGGAGAGATATCTGAACTAAATCCCTCATTAAGCGGTGAATATTGTTAAATTCCTCATTCCCTTATTTCAGGGTGAGAGCCCATGCAAATTTCCACATCTTCTACTACCTCTATGACTACTTGGAGTCTGAGGGTACACTGGACCAGTTCAGTTTGGACGGAGGTAGAAACTACCGCTATCTGGGCACAGCAGGCTCTGAAAATGATTCTAAAGTTCCTTTCGGGCCACGGGAGGAACCTCATAGGAATCCTAAAAAGTTCAAGGATTTTGAAAAGTGCTTGATTGACCTCGAGTTTGATCAATACCAGAGAGAGCGCATTTACAAGACAGTGGCAGCCATCTTGTTGCTGGGAGAGGTCAAGTTTGAGAAGGCGGAGGATGGAAAAGCTGGTCTCGCCAACACAGAGGTTGCGAATAAAGGTAAATGTAAACTTGAACCTGTGGGATTTGACTTATAAATAATTAAGAAGTAGCGGTTTTTTATGTACTGTCTTCTTTAATTCCTCTAAGCCAGGTTTTTTGTATGCATTTTGAGCAGACCCACTTTTATAAACGGGAAGACTGGGCATATGCCCAGGGGCGCCGGAGGTTTGGGGGCGCCCACCGGGTGCCCCTCAATCACCGCCTGCCTGCACAAGGAAAAAAGGGGGCACTGCTTTTGGGTTTGCCCAGGGCTCCACTGACCCTTAACGCGGCCCTGATTTTGAGCTGGTGTTTTTGAAACTAAATTAAAACATATTAGGTGTAGGTCCTACCTAATAAAACATAAGACATTTATTGATCTTTAGGCAAAATTACATGCAATCGATCTTGACATGGACGCTTGAAATGCACAAGTCAGTCATAAGTACAATAGTAAAACATGCTACACTAAAGCAAACAAAACAAAATAAGTGTTCATTCTACAAAATTAAATAAGAAAAATTACCTGAATGGTGAATGCAATAGGTAATAGTCAAATTATTTCCACTGCTTCTTTAGAACTTTTTATTCTTTTTTAAGTTCTAATCTAAAGCTACCTATGACCAAATAATAACATTCAGAACTAGATACAGTTTAATATAAAATCTAGAAAAATTCACTTGTTTTACTTTTAGTAAAACTTGAACATTTTGTTGTTGCAGTGGCCAACCTGCTAGACGTAGATGAGAAGAAATTCTGCTGGGCCTTGTGTAACTACTGTCTGGTAGTGAAGGGGACGGCGCAGCGGCGCAAACACTCGGTAGAAGAGGCGCGTGAGGCGAGGGAAGTGTTGGCACGAGGACTTTACTTCCGTCTTGTCGACTGGATAGTCAACACCATCAATCTCAAGCTTTCATTCACAAGAGCTATGTTGTAAGTGATAACTCTTAGAGTATTATCTTTGACCATGCGTAGAACAGAACGGTTAACATCCTTTGTTTTTTGAATTCCAAAGAAATTGCTTTAAATAAACTGCTTATTAACGATATCATTTTATGTTTCAGTGGGGACAGATTTTACATCAACCTGTTGGACCTATTTGGGTTTGAATGTTATCCAAAGAACAGTCTGGAACAATTGTTTGTGAACACTGTGAACGAACAACTTCAGTACCATTATAACCAAAGGATATTTGTCTGGGAAATGGTAAGAGAATCAGAATTACTCTATTGTGGTTGTATAATATTATCCTGTGTGAAAGAGAGCTTTTGGGTTTTGACTTTTAGGGATATACATTTTTTTATTAATATGTATATGGGTTTCAAAACAGTAGTTCTCCAATACAGATAAAACAGTTAAGTCTGATTGGCTGAAAGTTTTTTGTGCTTGCCTTCGAATCCCTTCAAATCTGATAGTTGATGGTTTAATCCCAAGTGAATACACTGAACAATTCTAATCTGTATCCTGTATCCTGTAGCCATTTGTCTTTGGGATATCCATTAGTGATTCTTTCTAACAAAATGTCCATGTTAAAATGGTCACACAATCAGGCTTTTGAACTGTTCCTTACAAAAAATTTGCCATGTCCCTAGCATAGATACAAAAAATTAAAAGTTCTTCTCCTGTATAGGAACCCATACCTTTTTCTCTATATAGGTGAATGTACAGTTTAAAGTGGGCTACAAACAACTGGGACATGTCATTAGCATTAGCATGGCACAGCTGAATGACACTGATGAAAACAAAATTGAATGCAAGCCTCCGTCTAAGGTCCTGTCTTTTAACTACAAGATACGACGTTCTCAGAGAAAGCTTATCACTAAAATGACACAGTAGTGGGGGAAATATTGTCACCACTTGTTCATGAACCTCTGTTACTTCACCACTGAATTACCCTAGGTACTCATACTGACTGGAAACAAATCTAAAGCCAAAGTATAGTAATGTAAAATGCTATGCACTGATCTACAATTCTATATTGTCTGGTATTTGAAACCTACTGTATGGAAAAGGAATCTATAAGGTAATTCATAGAAAGGTGGCTGGAATAAATTTCATTTTACAATAAAATTTATTAGTTTATAACTATTTTTGCAATTTGTGTTATATAGCAAGAACAAATCGAGGAGAACATTCCCCTGCAGCCGTTGCAGTATTATGACAATAAACCAACCATAGATGAACTGATGAGCAAACCTGACGGCCTTCTGTATATCGTCGATGAATCCAACAAGAACAACCAGGGTGCTGATTTTATCATAGGTAGGATGTTCCACGAATAAAAATAAAAAAAGAATAGTTTCAAATTTGAACACATCAAACAATTTAACACTAAGCTGTACAGAATGAAATAAAATAACTCTATAAAGTGTTAGCATTAACCTGGTGAAAGTCCAAGTTTTAGTATTGCTAACCAATTGTATAACCATTCCAGAAAAACTTCAAAGCACTCCTAAGGGTCCGAGAGTTAAAATGTCTACGTCAAAAGAGTTCACAGTTGCCCACTACACTGGAAAGATCGCGTATGATGTACAGGACATGCCCATTAAAAACCGCGACTTCCTGCCTCCGGAGATGATAGAGACGATGCGACTATCCAACGATGAAGTGATCAAACAGCTGTTCACCAACCAGCTGTCCAAGAGTGGTAACCTGACAGTCCATGTGGATCAATCGCAGCAGGTGACCACAGGGAAGAAGAAACGCTGGGGAGCTGCGTTGGTGGCTGAGAGGCAGAAGGTGAGATTACAGTAGAAAAAGAATTAAAGCATAAAAATCTACAATTAAAACATGTGTTACATAAGATCACAAGTCAGAGTAAGGTGTCGTAATCTTTTATACGGAATATCTACTGTGTAAAAAAAAACACTATCACGGAAATAAAATTTCAATATTTCACCATGAAAGCGGTTTATGTACCTACATTAGTAAATTTATCAAAAGAGAATGCATCTTAAATGTTTGATGCTAAAAAAAACTACTTCAAAATTATGTAGATAATCACCAAAAGGGATTTAATGAACACAATAATTTGATTTGTGGGAGAGATAATTTGCATAGTGTGAGGGATAAAACTGTTTAAAACCCCGTAAAACTTTTCTGATAATGGAATTTGGCTGGAATTCATTAGGGGTAGAAATAATGTTATTCCAAGATATTGATATTAGTTTTCTTCCATTAGTATTGGTATCTAAAACTGCACAAAATCATCAAACAACTTCAAACTACAAAACTATTTTCTATCCAAAAGTAGAATAAACAAAATTTTTTGGCAATGTCAATGGACAATAGCAAACTATTTCAGACATACAATCAAATGTAAACAAACTCAATCTAGTTTTGATATTTGGTGATGCATTCATGTTCACATAAACTCTTTTATTCAGTTCCATATTAACTCTGAGCCTCCAATTCATCCAACTAAAGCTTATAATGTGTTCTCATTGCAGAGGTCGTACAACACCCAGTCCCGCGGTGAGTACTCGCAGACGCGTCGCATGCGCACGGGCTCCGCTACGTTCCGAGCTGCGAGTCTGGAGTTGCTGCGTAACCTAGCCATGGGACAGGACGGCTGTGTTGCTCTGGGAGGAACACACTTTGTGCGTTGCATCAGGTAAGTGACTTTTCATCTCACGACCTAGACTTAAAGTTTCTCATCTTTATTGATTTTATCTGTGTTTTCTTAAATAAGGTTGTCGTCACGTTCAAGTCGCCTTGGTTTATTCCATTGTTCCTATTTCACCTGCAAAGACCAGTACTTATTGCCTATCTTGATTTGTTTGTTCCTCAGTTTTCCTGACCTTTTTTGTTTTTAGAGATTTATCTATAAATCCATACAAAAGTATAGAGGAAAAATTATTTCATTGAAAATATTCTGAAATAATTAATTTATTGAAATAAACTGATCTACCATATATTGTAGTGAGTTGGTATTACCACAGACTTTGGGCCCAAGGTAGTGAGGTTATGGTTCGGATCCTATCGGCCACTACTTTTTGTCAGTACTTTTTCCCTTGCTTCACTGGATACGTACCATGCGTAGGCCGGAGGCCTATATATGGATATGTAAATACAAGATTAAAAGAGGCTGCCAACATACCCATGCCTGTCCAATGGTAGTTTCTTCTTGGGATGTCATTCAGTGGTGTAGTATTACAAAAACCACACAATAAGAACATTTAATTTGACTATAAAAATTACTATCCAGAAAGTCAACCCACAAAGCCTTCCTAGATCTCATACTGGATATTTTATGATTACATCGATGGTTACAGAAATCATCTCACTCAGTTAAACCACAACTGACTGTGAAGTTTGTTTCTCCTTCAAAACTTTTTAATTTTTGTAGGGCCGACCTGACGGGTAGTCCGTACGGGTTCCAACCAGATGTTGTTCGTCAGCAGCTACGAGCCCTAGCCGTCATCGACACTGCGCGAGCTCGAGCTAAGGGATACTCTCACCGGGTTGGATTTGCTGAGTTTATTCGACGGTAATATATAGACATACACACCTTAGTATTAAAGTAATTGTAAGAAGTACAGACTATTTCTTCAGAATTTTCTCCTTGTCATTTAAATTATTTTTACCCATAAAAACATGAGTAAAGCTATACCCAATAGTGGGGTCTGCTTTTGAACATATATTTATTCAGGGCATAGATAGCCTATATTTCAGAACTTAAATAAATAAGCCTACCTCTACCTACACACTTAGCTTACCTATCTACCCAGTCTAAATTATCTGATACTATACTGGATTATAGCTTTACTCTTAATACAGCTTCAGTATCCAATAGTCAATGATTATAGCTACCCAAGCTAAGATTTTGAGTAAGTCAATAGTTACTAACCTTACTAAAATTTCAATCAGATTTAGTTTTTTACCCTTTGTTTTTCACCAAGTTCTCAGAATTGTAACTGTTTACCTTAAAAAAAATAAGTAAATACATATTTCCAGATACAAGTTCTTGGCCTTTGACTTTGACGAGAATGTGGAGGTCACAAAGGACAACTGCCGTCTGCTCCTGGTGAGATTGAAGATGGAAGGATGGGTCATCGGCAAGTCCAAAGTTTTCCTCAAATACTACAATGAAGAATATCTGTCAAGGTATTTATCGGCTGTAAATATCTGTGTTACTCATGGGATTTTATGTCTTGTCAACTAGATAGTGTTATTGATTAAGATAAAACACAGGCTGGAAAAAAAATGCAATGGTAACTTTATCCTATGATCATGGAGCGATTCTTTAAAAACTGGTGATAAATGTGAAAGCCATCATAGTGAATGTAGTAAAAATACTGAAAATTGATTACCATGATTCCACTAATCGCAGGGGAGCAAGTTAGTCTAGTGGTAGAGTGTGGGATTTTAATCCCAGTGGTCCTGGATTCAAATAGATTTTATATAAGTGATAATGTCACAACCCCCTCCTAGATTTAGCTTGGATTAATATAGAAAAATTCAGGGTTAGAACCTAGAGAGAAAAAATAAAGATTAAAAGATCTATTTTGATTTCAGACTGTATGAAACCCAGGTGAAGAAGATCATAAAGGTGCAGTGTATGATGAGGGCATTCCTGGCCAAGAGGAACTTCAAGGGCAAAGTGAAAGCAAGACAAGACTCTATCAGGCAGCAAAGTCAGGATGAGGAAGGTGCGCCTCGGGCAGAGCCGGCAGGTAATGACGACGACGACGAATGTTACAATCCCAACGAGATAGAAGAAGAGGGGGAAGTGGAGGGGGGAGTGGAGGGTGCAGAGGGCGGGGAAGGGAATGATAACGAAACAGCAATAGTAGGAGATAATGATGAGACCGGAGAAGAAGCGGAGGAATAGTTTGGCAGCAGAAACATAACAGCTTGTACAAACATAACATAACAGCTTGTTTGACATGGGACATCTTAAAAGTCCATTTTTTCCTGTAGGAAAATTTTTATTCCTCGCCTTGAGGATATAGCTCAGGGTGTATTGAGAATTGCTTTTATTTGCACTAATTTTGATTTTTGGTATTGTTTCTGAAATATTTTGCAAATTACGTTTCAAACTAGTCCAAATGAGCAAAGAAAATTTCCAAGCACAATTTTTTCGCTCGATTTATTCGTACGCTGTACAATTTTTTTACTTGTTCTGCACCTGTTATTTTTGTAAATACGGGTATAAAATTGAATACAATTAATATGAGCAAAAATTTACTATTCAAAAGTAAAGCGTTGAAAATTTAATTTGACAAGAACAACCGTAATGGTAAATGGTTAGAGAAAGAAAATATCTTAGGCTGAAAGCTTGATTTGATAGTTGGTAATCTTTTTCACTTGGAAAACCTCAAGATAAACAAAGTATTGTTTAACTTATTTTTTAAAACAGGAATTCTATAAATAAAAGGCACTATTTTATAATACCATGGATATTTTGATGAATCTCCATATGTTACTGATAATTACTAACTAGGTTATTTCCCCCACTGTACACTGTTCAAGAAATTAAATTAAAATGGATCACTCAATTTTCCTCCGATATGTTAATCTGTAATTCTGTCAAAACTCTTTTAATTAGTTGAAAAGTTTGGTTTGAATATGAATGTAAGTATTACTACAGTTAATTCGTAAGGAGTTTCCCTGTAGGAAATTATTGTTGTCTGTTAAAGTCAGAAGACCATAAAGGTGAATGAAGGCAAAACATTGTTCAATGCGTGAACATACCTAAAGATTGTGCTGTAGTCAGCATATGAACTACCTTAACATGAAAGTTTTGACTTCATTCACCTATATTGGACCTTTGACGATCGATGCATCCAAGATCTGTTGATGTTGATATTCGTTGTTGTAGAAATGTCAAAATTCTTGCTCTGTTGAAAATAAATGTGTTGTTTGGAATGGCTTGACTGTTTTATTGCATAAGTAAGCATTTTTTATCATATTGAGAATCGATTTATTCACATACGAATATGAACACTCCCGGTTTTGGAGCATGTACTTAATAAACATTTTTGTTCACAACATTCTTGTTTTCAGTATGATAAACAATACTTGCTTAGTGCTAATCCCTTTCTATTAGGTTTAGATCTAGTTAGGTACAATAATGTATATTTTGACTTAAATTCAGGTGTGGTTCAGATCATGTTTTTGGTTAAAATAGCAATGATAAATCAGTTTAGTTTTACTCCAGAATGAGTGAAACATTCGTTATTCTGTGGTTTAACCTATGAATCCACACACTGGATAAGAAATATAATATACAAACAACATTTCATGGCCATAAACTGTATGGAATTCTGCACCACTTCACCAAAAATATTGTTGAATAATCCTATTGCATATCACAAGTACCTTAAAGTCATTCTTTTAATGTGATGACAACACCTAAAGATTCGCTGATGATTATTTTAGAGGTAACATGCAGTTTAATATACTTGAGATCATTTTCATGCAATACAATGGGTTTTACCATTGACTAATAGCTTGATACTAAAGTAGACATCTATATGAACTAGCTGTCCCAACATTTTTAATAAAAATTAATATACTGAGACGAGAATCGTCGTCTGTGAGTGAGTCAGTCACAGAATTCGCTAGTGTCTAAAAGTGTATTCCTACCTAATTTTTTGTTGCTGACATGTTGGGTCATAAACGTTGCTATAGCTCACAATAAGTCATTCCACCAGTTTACTTGGTCAAAAGGTTTCTGTATCCAACTAAAATCAGTAATTTACAACAGGAAAATCTGTTATGGTGGCTGACATCAACTATGAAAGTTTTGATTAAAAACTGGTGACAACCTTAACACAGAGATGGAATGAGTTGTTGTATCAAGAGTCAAAGGTTTTAGATTATGTTCAATGGAGTGGTCTAATTTATACCACTGACTGCACTGAATCAATATTCAGAACTTAGTTTAAGTCAAACATAAATAAGGTATCAGTTAGTATTGAAACATGGTAGTGCAATTGTATGTCATTGATTCAACAGAGAAATCCTTATCCACTTGAGTCACAGTGCAGTGAATAACTGAAACAAAACAGTTAACACGTATTTAAACATAATTATTGTCCAACACACTACAGGATTTAAAGGAAATGATAACCTGATTTTGTGATCGTAGTTTGCTACTTTCAACATGAGTGTAAGACTCATGATTGTGTTTTGTAAGACATATCAGCTTAGATTCATGGCAGGATTACCTTCAACAATCGCCAGAACACTGACAAATGTAGCTGGGCATATAAAAAGCTCACTTTGTAATATTTGACCGGTTTGAAACTGAATCCTATTATTTTTAACCATTGGTCTTTTAATTGACAGTTTTGAGTCAGTAACACAACAAGACACTGTGATATAACTTATTCAAGACTTAACTTCGCTACAAATATGGTTGGTTAATTGGCATGGTGGAATACCTGTATCTTTTTATGTTTTGCTTTCAAATAAATACCATGACACTAGTCCTAGAACAGTTAAACACATTACTCCAAGCTATAGGTCTAGAGGTTTGTGGCATCACACTGCTAAAAGTAATTGGTGACTAGTAGGATTTGAACCCGGAACCTTGGAGACATAACTACTCTACTAATAGAGCTTACTCCCATACCTGTGGCCATCCATTTAGGTGCAGATATTACAGTGTGACAAAAATGAGAAAAATCTGGTATTGGGCGCTCAATGAGGTTGACTACATGGTACGCCTCTCCCAACAGTATTAGAGAGCCAGACTAGACTGTAGTGATGAAATAACAGCATACCTGGTGGCGTCAGTTTTTGCAACATATGAATTTAAACGAATAGTGTTTTTGACCTCTGGCAACCTCAAAACAAAAAATTAAATTGGTCCCAGGTTAAAGTTAAATTTACAATGAGATACAATGGCTTCCATATGAGAAATTCGCTAAAAGTAAATCCGTCTGAGCCCAGATCTACCATGAGACCCTAAAATGGTAATAGCATATTTCCTATTATGAAAAATTCGCTAGAATGTAACTTTTTAAAAGTTAAATTAGTACTTATAAAATTATTGAACAGGAATCATTAGGAAATATAAATGATAATTACACATTCACAAACACCTTGCATTTCCCTGACACATACAATTTTTACTATGAATTTTTTTAAATATTCATCTTAATTTTGAAACTCTAAATTAAAGTTATTATTTTTGTGTTTTTATTTCAGCTAAAAAGAAAGCTCGTCCTAAATCTCAACCTAAACCTCAACCGTCGCGTCCACCTAAAAAAGCCTCTGAAATGAGCCAGGATGAGGCTGCACTCGTAATTCAAAAACGTAAGAGTTCACCTCGTCCTGAGATTTTTCCTTGATTAAAGATACAAATTTGATAGTTGTGCTGTCCCTATAACTGTAAACACTTTTGAGTTTTCTTAGAAAGCCAAAGTTTATAAAGTTTAAAGAATAAAAAAGTTTTCATGTGAACTGCATCATGTTCATTTAAAATAGTTTATAATTTCCCTGAAGATACACCGTTTCAGTTAGTGAAAAACAATTTTTCAGATCAACTTTAAGTTTACATAATTTGTAGATTTCTTAAATGTTATTTTCCTTTGTAAATATCAACGTTCACTAGCCAGTCTTAATTTTTATAACTATTTATTGGTTAATTTTTCAGAGTTCAGAGGCTACCAAGCAAGAAAGGAGATTAAACCTCTTCTTTCTGGAGGTAAGTAAAACCAAAGAATTTTCATTGTAAAAATAATCAATTTCTTTACAAATGCTATGACTCTTTTGTCTCGAGGATGATTAATCATTTAATCATTTGATCATTTGATTAATCATTTCTTTTTCATGTCGCACGTCAACACATTATCATTTATTGAACATAAACATAAATAAAATTCTTAACAATTCAAATTTTTTTTTATCCAGAGGAATGTTAATATTTATTCATGGTTTGTAGAAAAGATGAACAATGAGGATGCCACTTTCATCAAACAGTTTTGTCGCAAATGGAAAGCCAAGTCCATATTTCAAGTTTTGCTGATGTACAGGGCAGCAAAGCATCAAGAAATCGTCTACATGTCCCAACAGGTTTGCAAGTTTTTTTTTACTTTTCTGTTTTGTATTCAATTATTTGCTATACAATACATGTATGGCTATTAATAACAGTAAAAGTAAATTTAAAGTTGAACAAGAAGGAAATGTTTATACACTGACTACAAACCCTTAGTGCGCTTTAGCAATCACATTTTGTTGCCTATCAGTTGCTCCGCGCTTTATTCACTTTCTGAAGAGTCCAGTTATAAGTATTGAGGCAGTAGGAAGCTTGCTTATTGCCATACTTCAAAACATTTTTTAGATTCTCTATGATAAAATATTCTATAATACACATGTGTATTGAACTATTCTGTGATATTGTTTGACACTATGTCTTCACCCGATTGTGTGAACATTTTGATTTATACAAATTATAAAATTAACTAAGGTATTCCAAAATAAATTACTGTTTGATGTTTTTGACCCAATTTTGACCAAGGAATTTTCAGAGCACAAACTTTTGGAAAATAAAGAGGTCCTTTATCAACTTTCCAAATCTAAAATAAATGAGTACTTTGGACTGACCATGTAATCAGAAAGGAGTTGGACTCCACACTTATAATCAAATAGTTCGGTATAAAATGGTTCCAAAGGTAGAAGACCACACATCCCAGGCTGCAATATGATGACCAAGAGATGAAAGAGATGCAGTGAATTTTTAGCTTAATTCAGGAGTAAATGCAAAACTAAATGGATGGCAAAAACATTCATGATTTGGGTTGCCCGCTTTGGTAAGTAATAGAACAGTTAGGACAGAGGAAACAAGCTTATGGAACAACTGTACGCTTTCAACTCTGGTGTTGTGCGGGAAATATACTTGTAACAAGCGAGGAACAGCTGAAAATGGGGACACTGTGAGGAAATTCCTATCTCACAGGGCTCAGGGTTCAAATAGCTTGTCCCACTCAAGGTAAAAATCCCTTGTCACACTCAGGGTACAAATCCCTTGTCACATTCAGGGTAGGCCTACACATACCTTGTCACACTTAGGGTACAAATCCCGGCCTTGTCACACTTAGGGTACAAATCCCTTGTCACACTCAGGGTACACATCGCTTGTCACACTCAAGGTACAAATCCCTTTCACACTCAGGGTACAAATCCCTTGTCACACTCAGGGTAAAAACCCTTGTCACACCCAGGGTAAAAATAGCTTGTCACACTCACGGTACAAATCCCTTGTCACACTCAGGGTACAAATCCCTTTCACACATCCCGCTCCACTGTGAGCATTGTAGACTAGTACATGAGGGCGAGGGGGGCAGTCTTGGACATTGCGCTAGACACCACTTGTACTAGACACCAAATGTACCATGGAGTGCATCCTCTGTTCAATACTTCTCTGTAGGTAAGTCAAAGAAATATCTGTACTATCCTTTTGAGCAGCCTCAAATACAAACAATGTGTCTCAGGTTCACTTGTACAACCAGAATGCTGTTAGCGCCCTCCAGATCTGCAATAAAGAGAGAGTTTCTCTTCACAACATTCGGACTGACACAACAGCTTCTCAGTTCCTGGGCAAGTTCACCCCAAGAATGTGGAAACTTCCATTCCGCCTCAACGACATGCCATTTGTCGATTCTTCATACTTGTGCAACACAATGGGAAAAAGGTAATACTTTTGATCATTATTTCTACTGCAGTCACAACTGGGTTGCACATTTAACCTTCATTTTAATGGTCCTTCACTGTCTTGATGAAATAATAGACGAGTAGGTCCGGTAAGGTCTAGTTGAGGGGTTTTCTTGAAAAAAGTATAAAAATATAACTATTGTCTTGTGATTATTTTAATTTCTTGTCTGTACTAAGTAAAAACACATTTGTAAAATTTGCATTACAAACAATACATTTTTATAGTCACACGATTCAACATAATTTTCATTGTAAAAACTGGAAATCTTAATTTTACTTCATAGTCCTTTTGTGGATTACCTAATAATTATACTATACCAGAGGTTAATTACCTGGTTAGTGGTTACCGAAGTAATAATTAAGGATTTTACTTGGACAAACACATAGTTAACTTCTTGTACAGTAACAATTATCAATTATCAATTATTTAAGATGGGGACGCCAATATATTTTATTAGTAATGCTCCGATTAAAACTTTTGTTGCTGCATGATTATAATATTGGTATTGTTATTCACATTTTATTCCTGCCATGTTTATAGAACTCTAACCAAAGATGATGCTCCGTGGGACGACCCATACAAGAGAAGGTCAAGGCTCTTGTCTCCCGGTGGAAGAACTTCAGGTAATATTAGAAATGAAAATCTAATTTTAAAATTACCATTCTTGGCTGTCAAATCTTTAAGAATCTTATGAAAATATTTATATAATATCTAAACACAGAGAAGTAAGGTTCCAGAGGAAGCAATGGTACACTTAAGCGGTATCCAGCACTAGTGCTGGTGTCTAGGGAAAGGTCCAACACCGCTCTCCTTGTCCTCATATACTAAAGCTCTCATGGTGGAGGAAGACCCTGTGTCCAGTGCGATAGGAATTTTTTCGCTATTCTGGTTCTTCACTGCTCGTCACAAGTATACTTCCGACACATCATGAACATACTAGAGCTGAAAATGAACGGTCGTCCCATAAGCGTGTTTCCTCTGTACCTTACTTCCTCTGTGATATAAACAAAAAACTTTTAACTAGACCAAAATGTAGTGATATTATAACTTGATAAATTGAAAAGTAACATAAGGACCAATCATACTAGTATCATACTCGTATTTTAAAATTTACATGTTTAGAGTTGGAAAACCGAGGATTACCGGTGGAGGAGGGAGGAGATGTGTTTGGCTTCATCCAAACTCCGTACACTCGGGACCCTAACTACGTGGAAGTGGTGTACTCCGGCCAGCCGTACAGGAAGGTAATTCTAAAACTCTTATATCTCTGACAGAACTTTTGTGTGTTTCATGGAAACGTAAATTGTGTACAATAAAGGGAAGCCTTATCAAGTTATATTGACCTTCCTCATGATATTGTGCCAGTTTCTTGTTGAAAGTAATATTTTTATATCTATCATTGCATTGCTAAACAAGATCACAGTTTATATTTGTATTTACAGTACATGATTCTAACAACGAATTTCTGCTTTAAAATATTAGTGGGGAAGAATATTCTGATCTTCTCTCGGTCCCATTTTAAAATGCATTAAAATACTGCTAACCATATAAGCTGATCTCATTCATATAATTTCATAAAGTTAATGTTTGATGGGTTTAGCTTCATAAAGACTCAGTTCCTGAAGTTATACATGTCTTATGGAAATTTTGATCATACAAAACAGTAGTGTTTTATTCCAGGGTGATCACTTTTTCACGACCAAAACTCCAAAGCAGAGGAGGGCCTCTAGAAAGGACCGGGTGGCCCCTCCAGCGCCTCAGTTAACCTACAACTACGCCCAGCCTGGGGGATCTAGCGACTTTAGCAAGGGGTTCAACAGACCTGCCGCTCCTAGCTACCAACCACCCAGTCCATCTAAGAACTTTGTGAATCAACAGTACAACAATGACAGTGGCAACAACAACTATAGGTAGGTTACAATTTTGATAGAGTGCAAGAGTAAAATGGAAAATACCCCTAGTGTGGAATATTTAGGGGGAAAATACTTGAAATAAAGAAGAATGAAAATTATTCTCCATAATTTTCCAAATAGTCATTTTAATTATTCTTTGGCTCTTAGCATATTCTCTAATTAATACAAGGCCGAGGGGTTGGTGTGTGGCAATGTCGGGCCGGCCTGCCTGCTATGGTTATGACAGTAGAAAGCACATATTAACATTGCGCAGACGCACCATTATCATTTATCTTATTAGTGCAACAGCTGTTTCAGAGGGCCGGAACTGTGGTATTCCACTTTTGTCTCGCCAAGGCCTTGTATTAGAGGAGGCATGCTCTGAGGGTCTGTATTCATTGGCTCTGAGTAAAGAGACATTTCCAATAATGTTCTCTTTTCCAGAGACACCTTTGTGCAGGTCTTGAAATACAACAGAGGTTATCTGGGAGAATTAATCTGATAGCCACTTGTGGTTTGATGAACCAAAGTCAAAAAAACTCCCGCTCCCACAAAAAAATTATTAGGGTAACATTTTAATTTGAACTACAATGAAAAGTTCACAACTAGATTTACTGAAGAAAAATCTTTTTAGGGACAAGTTGAAACCTGTTGGCGGAAATCAGAATCCAATCCGGGAACTGGAGATGAAGTTTCAGCAAATAAACAACAACAAGTCTGACAACGAGGATGAAGCTCCGACATTTAATTTCCAGGTATTTTCAGATTTCTTATTTACAAATATATAGTTTGCATCTAACAGATATTACAAAATGGGTTAAATTAAGTTAAAACCATAACACACCATAAACTAAATAAAAAAAAGTTACTTTATTAAAAATAAGCTGTATCAATAACTGAAATGAAATGAAATGAAATGAAATGAAATAATGAAATGAAATGAAATAATATTTTATTTCCCATTAATTATTTACAGACAAGTACATTGTATTTTTTTCTTTTCTTAAATATGAAACAGCAAAATATTACTAACTAGATAACAAAACTTATATACTGTCACTAACTCATAACTATAACTCACTAAATAAATAATGTCTCACCACTCATGTTTATAATTTCTAAATGAATAATGGTGTAATGTCTCACTAAATTAATTAAAACTATGTTTAACATCAAATTGTACCAATACTGTATATTTGTTGTTTATACTGTGCACAAGTATTGAATTCCTTTGTTTACAAGAGATTCAGACTAAACCATGACTAATTGATTTTGTGTGGATGTCAGCAATGTTTTGCTTATGACTAACTCAACTGAACAACTTCTCTTAGTGCTCTGGTATTAGTATTTAATGCATTAACATATATGTCAGTCACAATATAAATTTTACTGTATGAAAATAATGATACTTAATGTGAAAATTTGTATTCACATAATGCCATTGACGTGTCAAGTAAATGCATCTGACTTTTTGGTTGATAGATGAGGAAGGAGAGTTTTTTTTGTAAAATAATCATCAAGCAATAACTTACTTATTAGGAAGCATTGGATTGATGTAGGGTTGACTGCCTAAATAGAAGGTAGAGATGATGTTTAGAAAGCAATTGCATGGCAGTACGTTGCAGTTATACCCTTTTTACTCTTTTTGCTTAGGTACGGTATATTTATTTTGACTTTTGGAAATATTTTCTTCCTGAGACATTAAAATTTAAAATTACTATTCAGCTGTAACTTCTCAGTTTAAAGCCTTATTGCCATATTGACACCATTACAATGCACTATTGTTTGACAAGGAGCTGAGAAAAAAACTGGAGACAATTTAACTACACTTCCTAGTTCCTCATATATAGTGAGACACAATATTTTTGGTTCTAAAATTTTTTTCTTAACAATTGTAACATAAAAGTATCTTTTGATTTTTTTAAATTCTACCTAAGATGTTGTATACAGGCATAAAATTATCTTTATCCCATCACAGGCAATGCTGCGGAAGACCAACCACAACAGGGCGTCTCTGCGACGCTCGCCGGAGATGGAAATGGCTAACAGCCATGGTTACGGATCATTCCCTGTCATTCCAGAGCAGCGGTCTGTCAGTCAGTCCAACAGCAATGGTTATATGAACAACAACAACAACGTGGTATATAATAGCTCTGCGATGAGAAATAAGAACGCAGCACCGAAACCATTCCTCCGCCAAGATTCTGGGGACTGTCGCAAAAACATGTCGCATCACTACAAGGAGTCAGTGAAGAAAGCAAGGTGTGATGAAGTTACTACCGAAATAGCCCCTGGGATAATCATTCAAGGACAAGTTGCTGAACTGTAATTCCATTTTAAAGTATTTAACAAATAAATAGTTTTATTTATAACTTTGAGTGAAAGATTGGCAAGAAAGGCACTGATGTAATGATTTTTAAAGGTTGAAATATCTATTGATGGTTGAAGTATATAAATAAATAATTACAAAACCTATGTTTTGTGTTTTTATTATCCTTGTTTTACCATTTAATTCAGTTTGTGTAGTTGTACCCCTCCAATTGCCAAATCGTTACTGCTTTTTGACATAGTGCAACAATCCAGATTTTAATAGCCATATCAGAGATATTGAATTCCCCAGGAGTAATTTTTACTGTGTCATAGATCAGTGCTAATAAAAATAAAATGCTTGGATGGTTCTTTTTAGCAAGCTTGATTTTTAACTGATGATTTTAGTTTATTCCTTTCATCTACAATCACTTTATTGCGAACTTCATTTGTTGACTATACCCTTTTTGAATACGTCAGTTTTCTCCTAACCAAAAATTAGGACCACTAAATATATGAGCTAGTGGAGAGTGCACAAACTACAAAAAATATTTTACAGTAATATTGTAAAGAATATTTCCCACAATATAACCTACTTAGCCATTTCTTCATATTTCAATAGTTTCAATAATCTTGTTACAAATTTAACAAAAAAGAAACACACACAAGTTATAAGCAAGAAGTCCAATAAGCAAAGTCTAGTGGATACAATCTCCAGAAGTTGTGATACTTGTTTCTCTGTAACCAGATTGAGAATTTCTCTTAAATAAAAAATGTTCTCATAGAGATTCTTTATCAGGGTTTCCATTAATAACAAATTCTGCATGATGAGTCTTTTGTTTTTGCACTTGGCAAGATGGTTTCATCTTGTACAGAAAAATTTCATTCTAAATAATCATATTTTACATATTATAAAATGATAAAATTTCATAGGCAAATAAATCAAACATAGATTTTCCTGTCATCAATCCATAAATCCTAATATAATAAGAATTTAATTGGTTTTTGTAAAAAAAAACTATTAAGTAAAAGTTAGAAGGAATTCCCAGTAAAATCGTCAAAACCTTTATTCTATCTTTAACTAGGAAAATTTAACTAACCAACTTGAACAATCCTGATTCAGGCACACCTTTAACTGTTATACATTTTTATTTTATGAAACTCTAAATGCAATTTCTGTATCAAATGCAAACATTCGGTTTCATGACAAATTACTTCACCATGTATGTGATGAATGCTAATGGATGACAATAACTTTGCCTTTTGTATCTGTTCACCTGACCTGATATGAACAATTACTCTCTGGGTACACCAGTTATTCCCAACAATAACTATGCTAATGCCACTGACTGCTGTATACATAAATTTGAATTGTAAATCCACAGAATGCTTTGACTATCCTATCAGTTGGTTTTTGGGAGATTTACGAAATGATTGAAATTTTGCATTTCAATTGAATATTTTACTCCCTTCAATCTGATAAGGTTGTAGCCGTTGCTAAGTGAATTTTATTCCAAACTAAAAATGTTTTCTCTTCAAGAATTAAAGGAAATTTATTTGGAGTAAATAATTCATTCAATGAAAACTTAATTACTTTGTTATATCAAAATGGAAACCTTCTTTAAGCAATAACTATTAATTTTTCACCACCTATTCTTAGAACCGAAATAATTTTGTAAAAAGATATAAAAATATCTATGGTTTATTATTGAAAAAAAAAAAAAACTGGCTGAATTTACTTTTAAAATAAAACATTCAGTAATGATACTTGACAGAGAAAAAAATAAACTATAACAATTTACATAGGGAAATAACTGTACCATATCAAACTGTTATGTAGACTTTACTTTTACATTTAATTTATTAAAAATATCCATCTATAAATGTTATTACTTAACATACATTAATGTCTCAATCTTATATTAATTACAAGTAAAAAATATTTTACTTAAAAATAACGTATACAACCAAATCATTTACAAACAAAAATTTTCAGGCCTATAAAAATCGTTTTGGTAATTGTATTTATTATAGTGACACTTTTTACAGAACAAAAGTGTGGTAAATGGTGGGTCAGCTTGAAGTAGTGGTAGAGGCAGAACTTGCTGAGGATGTAGAGGATGAAGACACGCTGAGGTTAGCGATGCTTGAAATGGCTGTTGCCAGCTGATTAAAGAGGTTCTGAATATGGTTCAAGATCTGGACGTATGCAACCAGGCCCTTGTACACGTTCTCATTGGTTTTGTCAGCGAATTGTAAAGCACCATTCTCTAACACCTGCAACATACAATCAGGAGTAAATGTATTGTATATTATAATTATAAACAAATTGTGTAAGATAGCTTATGATTTAGAAATTTTACAAGATTTTTGCTTTGCAAATAACAATTTTAATCATTCAAGAGTAAAACGTGTCATCTTTAGGATGGATCCTCATAAATCTTAGTCTTGCACAGCCACAAGTAGCTTATCATGTTAATTAAATTCTTAAATTGCCCAACGATCGTTTAAAGCATAAAAAACTAATACTTTATTCGATAAATTGACATCATTCATTGAAATCAAGGACTTTTCACAAGTGAAGTGGTTAATGTGACACTAAATTTAAATTTGTATATCAAATTCGTTAACATGCATATGAATACCAAGATCTAAAATGAAATTTAAAAGCTGACTTTTGAATGAACAACTTTGGCTCCTACTCCTACAGTCCCAACCTGATAACTGCCTCTTAAAGTCTACTTACCTTGACACCAGAGTCTAGGAGTTTTGAAGCGGTTTGTTCAGCTGATGTGATGGCAGCCACTAGTCTTCCTGTAATAGCATCCAACACTCCAGCGATACCTTGAGAGATTACATTAACCCCAACGGATCCAGCCAGCATAGTATCACCTGCTGTCTTTAGCCCTGGAATCAAAGTGTTTTTGCAATACTTTTTCTATAGAGAATTTGTACCAAACAAGTTTTGCTTTAACTTCGTTACTAACAGATATTAACCGTTACTAGGAGGTGAGGCAAATTTAATAATTTTTAATTACAAGATTAATTTATCGGTGCTACATAAATTGAGCACAGAAATTTGAGTAAATTACGAAAGTTTGTAATAAGTGACTGTTCTAACCTGAAGCACCGATGTCTGCTCCTACAGAAATTCCTGATGCAGCATAATCCCCCAGTTTACCAGCAAGGTGGATTCCAGAGTTCGCTGATGCTTCTACCACCTGACCACCCGCCTGAACACCATGACCTGCCAGATTCATTAGGGACCCAAGCACCGATGACCCAGAGACTGCAGCGGACCCAGCCAGCTTCCCACCACCCACGGCCGCCTGTCCGTAGAGAGTCTTCAACGCAGCTGCTAGAGCAGGATTTACATTCACTCCGTTGAATATAGCGTACAAGTGAGCCAGATTTGGAGCAGTGTCTACCCCGAGCTTGATCAAAGGGCTACCCAACCCTGTAGCACCGGTGTACATGTTTTGATGGACCAAAGCCAGATTCTTGGCGAAGTCTTGTGCAGCGATTGTGCCATAACTGGGTGTTTCTACAGCCGCGCCTGCGACCGTGGTGAGGACGAGACATGAAACAAGAACGGTGAAAGCCATGACTTGAAATGAGTGTGACATGTGATAAGCTTGTTTATAAAGATATTTGAACAGAAAGAGCGTAACAATCTTAAAGTCATGGTTGTCATAAAGCGTAGCATGTGAGACGAATTGGCATAGTAAATTCATAAATGTATTTGTTTACAATACTCGTGTAAATATAAAGAAACAAATTTGGTAAATACAAATATGAGTTTTACAGAACTTTACAAATATATATACTTAATTTAGTAAATGGATTTCTCTGTTACATCCCTTTTCCAACCGTCCTACTAAACCTATTTTACCGATTAAGTGTCATTTGAAATACAGTCCAACCTCAGTATAACGAATCTGAAGGGACCGAACTGAATATTCGTTATATCAAGGGTTTCGTTAAAATGAGGTTCGTTATATAGAGGTTAGGTTTGCAGGAATTTCGCTAAGTCGAGGTTCAGAACCAGCGTCGGTCAATATAGGTCGGGATTAGACGTCATTAAAACACAATTAAAGTAGCATAGGCTACAATACTTTACAGTACAGTACATTGTACAGTAGAACCTAAATTATCCGGCATAATAAAGGGGAGGGATCTTGAATATTGCGCAATCATGACAATGGCATTGACCTTGGTACAGGTTAAAAAACTCTTAAGTTTAAAATCACAGCTTGTTCTAACCCTCCTAAAACCTAGCCAAACACTGTATTGCGTAGTCATAAAGCATGTAAAGAACAAAACAAAACAGTAGTAGAAAGTTTTGTAAGCTAGGTACTGCTCGTGATAGGCCGGTAGGCTACTTACAGTACAGTACTGATTTATCACAACAGAGGAATGTCAATAATAATCATTAACTATAGCATTGGTGTTGCTAGTTGAAACAAATCGTATTGAAAACAATACAGTAAATTATTAGATAAGACATTATAAAAGTGTATAATCATAGCCAACTTAAAGATAATAAAAACACTCGAAAAAGGAATGTTAAAATAACGATGTTGCTATTCTTTCTCTTTGGTTTTGTTTTTATATTCTTTCTTAGGTTTCTCTTCATCCAAAAACTGTACAATTCACCATAGTTACTTATCGCCCAATCACAGCTTACTAAACATTACGTCGTCATCAGTCCTCAGTGAATGAAATCAGTTCTCAGTTGCAACATAGCGCGCGCAGCGAAAGCAGACAGAGATGTGTAAAACCACATAAAACGGAGCAGACAAATGTTAGCGCAAGCGATGACGTCACCTTTCCATTCCATTTGATAAAGAAACAGATTTTTCAAAAACAATAAAGGGGTGGGGGATTTGTTATATCGAGGGAAGGACGTAGACAATTCGTTATGCAGAGGTTAAATTCGCAATGTAGAGGTTCTGACAATGATAAATTCGCTATATTGAGGTGTGTTATTTTAGCCGAAATCACGAAAATTCGTTAAATCAAGGTCGTTG